CCTCAGTGGTCTATTCATGCTCAGGCTCAAATTCCTCTGGGGCTGCACAAGGTTATGCCTCATCGGTGGTCTCTGCATGCTCAGCCCCAGCTTCCTGTTGGGCTGCAGATGGTTCTGCCTCCTCGGTGGTCTGTGCATGCTGAACCGCAGCCTCGTGTCTGGCTGCAGAAGGTTCTGCCTCCTTGTGGTCTATTCCTCCTCAGCCGCAGCTTCCTGATGCACTGCAGAAAGTTCTGCCTTCTCGGCGGTCTATTCATGGTCAGCCTGAGCCTCCTGTTGGGCTGCAGAAGGTTCTGCCTCCATGGTGGTCTGTTCATGCTCAACCGCAGCCTCGTGTCTTGCTGCAGAAGGTTCTGCCTCCTCGGTGGTCTGTTCATGCTCAGCCTGAGCCTCCTGTTGGGCCGCTGAAGGATCTGCCTCCTCTGGGGTCTCTGCATGCTCATCCTCAGCCTCGTGTCGGGCTGCAGAAGGTTCTGCCTCCTCGGTGGTCTGGTCATGCTCAGCCTGAGCCTCCTGTTGGGCCGCTGAAGGATCTGCCTCCTCTGGGGTCTCTGCATGCTCATCCTCAGCCTCGTGTCGGGCTGCAGAAGGTTCTGCCTCCTCGGTGGTCTGTTCATGCTCAGCCTCAGCTTCCTGTCGGGCAGCAGAAGGTTCTGCCTCCTCAGTGGTCAGTTCATGCTCGGCCGCAGCCTGCTGCTGAGTCGCTGAAGGATCTCCCACCTCGGGATTCTCTGCATGCTTAGCCTCAGTCTCGTGTCGGGCTGCAGAAAGTTCTGCCTCCTTGGTGGCCTGTTCACGCGCTGGCCTCGCCTCCTGTTGGGCTCCAGAAGGTTCTGCCTCATCGGTGGTATGTTCATGCTCAGCCTCAGCCTCCTGTTGGGCCGCTGAAGGATCTGCCTCCTCTGGGGTCTCTGCATGCTCAGCCTCAGCCTCCTGTCGATCTGCAGAATGTTCTGCCTCCTCGGTGGTCTATTCATGCTCAGGCTCAAATTCCTCTGGGGCTACAGAAGGATCTGCCTTCTCGGTGGTCTCTGAATGCTCAGCCTCAGCTTCCTGTTGGGCTGCAGATCATTCTGCCTCCTCGGTGGTCTGTTCATGCTCAGCCTCAGCCTCCTGCTGCACTGCAGAAGGTTCTGCCTCCTTGGTGGTCTCTGCATGCTCAGCCTCAGGCTCTTACTGGGCTGCAGAATGTTCTGCCTACTCGGTGGTCTGTTCATGCTCAGCCTTAGCCTCCTGTTGTTCTGCAGAATTCTCTGCCTCCTCGGTGGACTATTCCTCCTCAGCCGCAGCCTCTTGCTGCACTGCACAAAGTTCTGCCTTCTCGGCGGTCTATTCATGCTCAGCCTCAGCCTCCTGTTGGACTGCAGAAGGTTCAGCCTCCTCGGTGGTCTGTTCATGCTCAGCCGCAGACTCCTGATGGGCCGCTGAAGGATCTACATCCTAGGTGTTCTCTGCATGCTCAGCCTCAGCCTCCTGTCGGGCTGCAGAAGGTTCTGCGTCCTCGGTGGTCTGTTCATGCTCAGCGTCAGCTTCCTATCGGGCTGCAGAAGGTTCGGTCTCCCCGGGGGTCTGTTCATGCTCAGCCGCAGCCTCCTGTGGGGCTACAAAAAGTTCTGCCTCAACGGTGGTCTGTTCATGCTCAACCGCAGCCTCCTGTTGGGCTCCAGAAAGTTCTGCCTTCTCGGTGGTCTCTTCATGCTCAGCCTCAGCTTCCTGTCGGTCTGCAGAAAGTTCTACCTCCTCGGTGGTCTGTTCATGCTCAGACTCAGACTCCTGTTGGACTGCAGAATGTTCTGCCTCCTCCGTGGTCTGTTCATTCTCAGCCTCAGCCTCCTGCTGCACTGCAGAAGGGTCTGCCTCCTCGGTGGTCTCTGAATGCTCAGCCTCCGCCTCCTGCTGGGCCGCAGAAGGCTCTGCCTCCTCGGTGGTCTCTGCATTCTCAGTCTCCGGCTCTTGCTGGGCTGCAAAAGGCTCTGCCTTTTTGGTGGTCTCTGCATGCTCATCCTCAGCCTCCTGTCGGGCTGCAGAAGGTTCTGCCTCCTCGGGGGTCTGTTCATGCTCAGCCGCAGCCTCCGGCTGGGCCGCTGAAGGATCTGCCTCCTCGGGGTTTTCTGTATGCTCAGCCTCAGACTCCTGTCGGGCTGCAGAAGGTTCTGACTCCTCGGTGGTCTCTGCATGCTCAGTCTCAGCCTCCTGCTGGGCTTCACAAGGTTCTGCCTCTTCGGTGGTCTCCGCATGCTCAGCCTCAGCCTCCTGTTGGGCTACAGAATGTTCTGCCTTCTCAGTGGTCTCTTAATGCTCAGCCTCCGCCTCCTGTCGCTCTGCAGAAGGTTCTGCCTCATCTGTGGTCTGTTCATGTGCAGCCGCAGCCTCCTGTTGGTTTGCAGAAATTTCGGCCTCCACGGTAGTCTGTTCATGCCCAGACTCAGCCTCCTGTTGGTCTGCAGAAAGTTCTGCCTCCTCCGTGGTCTATTCATGCTCAGCCTCATCCTCCTGCTGCACTGCACAAGGTTTTGCGTCCTCGGTGGTCTGTTCATGCTCAGCGTCAGCTTCCTATCGGGCTGCAGAAGGTTCGGTCTCCCCGGGGGTCTGTTCATGCTCAGCCGCAGCCTCCTGTGGGGCTACAAAAAGTTCTGCCTCCTCGGTGGTCTGTTCATGCTCAGCCGCAGCCTCCTGTTGGGCTCCAGAAAGTTCTGCCTTCTCGGTGGTCTCTTCATGCTCAGCCTCAGCTTCCTGTCGGTCTGCAGAAAGTTCTACCTCCTCGGTGGTCTGTTCATGCTCAGACTCAGACTCCTGTTGGACTGCAGAATGTTCTGCCTCCTCCGTGGTCTGTTCATTCTCAGCCTCAGCCTCCTGCTGCACTGCAGAAGGGTCTGCCTCCTCGGTGGTCTCTGAATGCTCAGCCTCCGCCTCCTGCTGGGCCGCAGAAGGCTCTGCCTCCTCGGTGGTCTCTGCATTGTCAGTCTCCGGCTCTTGCTGGACTGCAAAAGACTCTGCCTTTTTGGTGGTCTCTGCATGCTCATCCTCAGCCTCCTGTCGGGCTGCAGAAGGTTCTGCCTCCTCGGGGGTCTGTTCATACTCAGCCGCAGCCTCCGGCTGGGCCGCTGAAGGATCTGCCTCCTCGGGGTTTTCTGTATGCTCAGCCTCAGACTCCTGTCGGGCTGCAGAAGGTTCTGACTCCTCGGTGGTCTCTGCATGCTCAGTCTCAGCCTCCTGCTGGGCTTCACAAGGTTCTGCCTCTTCGGTGGTCTCCGCATGCTCAGCCTCAGCCTCCTGTTGGGCTACAGAATGTTCTGCCTTCTCAGTGGTCTCTTAATGCTCAGCCTCCGCCTCCTGTCGCTCTGCAGAAGGTTCTGCCTCATCTGTGGTCTGTTCATGTGCAGCCGCAGCCTCCTGTTGGTTTGCAGAAATTTCGGCCTCCACGGTAGTCTGTTCATGCCCAGACTCAGCCTCCTGTTGATCTGCAGAATGTTCTGCCTCCCCCGGGGTCTGTTCATGCTCAGCCTCATCCTCCTGCTGCACTGCAGAAGGGTCTGCCTCTTTGGTGGTCTCTGCTTGCTCAGCCTCAGACTCCTGCTGGGCTCAAGAAGGTTCTGCATCCTCGGTGGTCTGTTCATGCTCAGCCTCATTCTCCTGTCGGTCTGCAGAAGGTTCTGGCTCCTCGGTGGTCTGTACTTGCTCAGCCTCAGCTTCCCGTCGGGCTGCAGAAGATTCTGCCACTTCGGTGGTCTGTTCATGCTCAACCTCAGCCTCCTGTTGGTTAGCAGGAAGTTCTGCCTCCTCCGTGGTCTGTTCATGCGCAGCCTCAGCCTCCTGCTGCAGTGCAGAACGGTCTGCCTCCTCGGTGGTCTCTGAATGCTCAGCCTCAGCCTCCTGTTGGGCCGTAGATGGGTCTGCCTCATCGGTGGTCTCTGCATGCTCAGCCTCAGCCTCCTGCTGGGCTTCACAAGGTTCTGCCTCCTCGGTGATCTCTGCATGCTCAACCACATCCTCCTGTTGGGCTGCAGAAGTTTCTGCCTCCTCGGTGGTCTGTTCATGCTGAGCCGCAGCCTCCTGCTGGTCCGCTGAAGGATCTGTCTCGTCGGGGTTCTCTGCATGCTCGGCCTCAGCCTCCTGTAGGGCTGCAGAAGGTTTTGCCTCCTCGGTGGTCTCTGCATGCTCAGCCTCAGCCTCCTGTTGGGCTGCAGAATGTTCAGCCTCCTCCGTGGTCTGTTCATGCGCAGCCTCAGCCTCCTGCTGCACTGCAGAAGGGTCTGCCTCCTCGGTGGTCTCTGTATGCTCAGCCTCAGCCTCCTGTTGGGCCTTAGAAGGCTCTGCCTCCTCGGTGGTCTCGGCATTCTCAGCCTCCGGCTCTTGCTGGGCTGCAAAATGCTCTACCTCCTCGGTGGTCTCTGCATGCTCAACCTCAGCCTCCTGTTGGGCTGCAGAAGGTTCTGCCTCCTCGGTGGTCTGTTCATGCTCAGCCGCAGCCTCCTGCTGGGCCGCAGAAGGATCTGCCTCCTCGGGGTTCTCTGCATGCTCAGCCTCAGCCTCCTGTTGGTCTGCAGAAGCTTCTGCCTCCTCTGTTGTCTGTTCATGCTCAGCCTCAGCTTCCCGTTGGGCTGCTGAGGATTCTGCCACTTCGGTGGTCTGTTCATGCTCAGCCTCAGCCTCCTGTTGGTTTGCAGAAAGTTTGGCCTCTTCGGTAGTCTGGTCATGCTCAGACTCAGCCTCCTGTTGGTCTGCAGAATGTTCTGCCTAAGCATGCTCAGCCTCATCCTCCTGCTGGTCTTCACGAGGTTCTGCCTCCTCGGTGGTCTCTGCATGCTCAGCCTCAGCCTCCTGCTGGGGTGCAGAAGGTTTTCCCTCCTCGGTGGTCTCTGCATGCTCAGCCTCAGCCTCCTGCTGGGGTGCAGAAGGTTTTCCCTCCTCGGTGGTCTCTGCATGCTCAGCCTCAGCCTCCTGCTGGGGTGCAGAAGGTTTTCCCTCCTCGGTGGTCTCTGCATGCTCAGCCTCAGCCTCCTGCTGGGGTGCAGAAGGTTTTCCCTCCTCGGTGGTCTCTGCATGCTCAGCCTCAGCCTCCTGCTGGGGTGCAGAAGGTTTTCCCTCCTCGGTGGTCTCTGCATGCTCAGCCTCAGCCTCCTGCTGGGCTGCAGAAGGTTCTGTCTCCTCGGAGGTCTCTGCATGCTCAGCCTCAGCCTCCTGCTGGGCCACAGAAGGCTCTGCCTCCTCGGTGGTCTCTGCATTCTCAGCCTCCGGATCTTGCTGGGCTGCAAACGGCTCTGCCTCCTCGGTGGTCTCTGCATGCTCAGCCTCAGCCTCCTGCTGGGCTGCACCAGGTTCTGCCTCCTCGGTGGTCTCTGCATACTCAGCCTCAGCCTCGTGTTGTGCTACAGAAGGTACTGCCTCATCGGTGGTCTGTTCATTCTCAACCTCAGCTTCCTCTCGGGCCGCTGAACGATCTGCCTCCTCCGGGTTCTCACCATGCTCAGCCTCAGTCTCCTGTCGGGCTGTAGAATGTTCTGCCTCCTCGGTCGTCTGTTCATTCTCAGCCTCAGCCTCCTGTTGGTTTTCAGAAGGTTCTGCCTCCTTGGTTGTCTATTCATGCTCAACCACAGCCTCCTGCTGAGCTGGAGAATGTTCTACCTTATTAGGTGGCAATTAAGGTGGAGCTGAACTCTCCTGGGGGACTGGAGAAGGTTCAGCCTCTTTAGGGCGTTCTAGTTGCAGACCTGGAGTCCCCTGGTGGGATGGTTCAACCTCCTTAGAGGGCTCTGGTGGCCCAGCAGGGGCCTTCTGTTG